GTCAAGAAAGAGAATTATACAGGCAGTAAGCTGTGTGGTACCAAAGGGGTCAAGCAGTAACCTTCGAAGTTTCAGCTCTGAACTTTTTATCAAAGTTGTAAAAAGTCCTATTGAAGCCTCAATGCTGAATAAAAAAAACGACAGCATCACTGTTTCAGCCTCTAAAAGTCGGGATTGTACTTTGTTATTCAAATTACGTTAGTCTGCAATGCAAGCTGGTTAAAAGGCGTGGAAAGTTTTAGGTACAAGTTTTCTACAGAAAGGGGCAAGTCTAGTGAAATAACCCCTTCCAAAAAAGGAAAAAAGGTGGATCAATGTTAAATGCAAAGAATTCGTCCAAAACCTGTTGTAAAAATATTTCAAACAAAATTTGCATATTAATAAATTTACAATAATAAAAGCTTAAAGCAGCCAATCAGTAATGATCTTATATATATATATATATAATTTGCATATGATAGGTCATTACCATAATATGCCACAGCCAATCATATAGTTTGTCTCATAAAACCTTTGCATATGGCTAGTCACTTAACAGATATTGCAATTTGTAAAAGTAAAGCTACGCTTGGAATAGTTTGATCTCATTAGCCCTTTCATTCTGACCACTCTGACTAAAAAAATACTGACTGATTTGAATAAAACACTTACAACAAAATCTAACAATTTTGACTTCAAAATCAACCTCCAAATCAGAAAATAATCTGGGAGAAAAAATTTCCACCCGAAATCTTATTGGTATGGCCTACCAATGAAAGGGTTAATTATCATAAACTTTTTTTTTTTTTAATTTTTTTTTTCAAACTTCACAGAAAAATGGACAAGAAATTAAAATTTGGGATAAAGTTTAGGTAGAATCTTTGGTTTTTATGACACACTTAATATTCAGAATGTGCTCAAAACAAGACTATCGATTAAACGCCAAAATATGCAAATTTGAATCACAGTAATGTTAATTCTGTACAGACTTATCATAAAATCAATTTAAATTATTGGGCACACTCAACAAAATTTTTTTTGTTTCAATAATTTCTATTGTTAACAGTATATAACTAAAATTATGCAAATTTTAATAATACCATTTTGGATATCATGTGACATATTTCATAAATGGGAAAAACAGCTTCAGCTCTTTTTTATACAATCTCAAAAAAAATACACATTTATTCGCCCCTTCTCAATTCAATATTTGTACTCTGGGCTGGCTACTATACAGACAAAATATACCAATAAATACATTGCAGCCAATCAAAATAAGTACAACTGATAACCTTCCACCCCTATTCCTGAGTAAAATGGAACAACCCACTGGCAGAGAAAATAAGGCTATTCCATTGTACATGGAAAACAAGGGGATTTATGCAGTCTCTGCATAGATAGATAGATACACTAATGGAAGAAACTAATTTTGGAAAAGGTTTCCCTGACAACACTATACAAATAAATCTTCATTTATCACAGAATTCGTGTGTTATATAATTATCACAGTTGAATTAAATTCACTCAAAAAAAACTGAATTTTCTATCGGACAAGTTTTTTCATATTTCCAATTATTCACAAAACACATACAAATCTTGAAAATTCATTTCTTAATATTAACTTCATATTAAGTATACAGTAAGATAGAGGAACTATTAATATCACCTACATCTCTTCAACTAAATTACAATTTCATCCCTCCAGATTATGGGTTTCCACCCCTACTATTTTGAATAATGGACTAAACCTCATAAGATGAATATTCACAGCACACCAAGTATTTGTTGTGATAAGAATAAAAATTCAATTTTAAATAAATATGATAAAATAATATCATTTAAGGCTAAGTACATTTCATTGGATTCAGTAATTAAAACGCATTTTAATCCAGACAGCAGATCATGGTGAACAACATCTACACCAGATATCTGATGTATACATAAACTCAGGTTACCATGGCAAAGTTAGAAAAAATGTACTCCATATGAAAGAAATTATTCACCCATTTCATTACTGATTAATGTCTTTTGTTGTTTAATCGTTTGGTGATCTCTTGTTCATCGGGCAGCATCATTAACGAATATGGCGTTATCTTGTTTCGTCGTTGTAAAATTGCTCGTTTCATATTTTCAGCATCTGAATATTCCATGGAACTGCTGTAGTAATCTCTTGGGTGTAAATCAACGTCCTCCATGCCGTTTTGCGGCCTCAAAAGGTCAGGGTTGGAATGTTGGTCAGAGTCTGCGTCAGAACCTATGGAGTCAGTTTCCTTCTTCCCATTGGTTAGTTTGTAGTTGCTTGGTGATGGGATATCATCTTCAATGTCAATGTCCTCCGATTCTGATTCTGATTCTGCATGACCGTTGATTTTATGGTTCTTTTCAGGAAATTTGTCATCGCTGTCTTTGTCAGCCTTCTGTTCAGTGTGTTCTTTATCACACACCTCTTTCTTGATGGGCTTCTCGTTGCTTTCATCATCTTTATCTCGTTTCTGGCTTTTGCTGATTTGGTCCATAATTGAAAAGTTTGCTCAAAGTTCCCTGGAGCTTGGCTTTCTTTGATTTTGGGATCGGTGTTAACTTCACCTATAAAATTATGGATTTGCTCAAAGTAAGATTCGTCTTTACTGTTCAGTTCGTGGGCTGCCATTAGCTCCTGTTTCTCGTTTTCATGTTTCTTCAAATGACGATCAAGATTAGTTTGCTGGCCGAAACAACGATCACACATTGGGCACTTAAATGGTTTCTCTTTATTATGAATGTTACGAACATGACGCTGAAGATTCGACGAAATGCTGAATGACCGATCACAGTATTTGCAGCTGTACGGCTGCTCCCCGGTGTGTGTACGAAGATGCCGTGTTAAGTTGGCGGATCGAGGGAATATCTTGCCACAAAATTTACACGTATATCTGTCTTTACCCTTTGAACGGTCAATGGTGTGTTCGAACATCATGGTCTTCATGTTATGTGAGGGAGGACTACCCGCCATTTTGTTCAGTCCTGGGGGCATTTCAATCAACCCTCGTGGCCCGTACGGGTCAAACTTACGCATTGGTGCAAACTGTGGTGGCGGTAGATAAGGATAGTCCATACGTATATACTTTGATGGAATCGGGAAATCATGAGAATATTTTCTTTTCTCAACACGGTAGATTGGATCCATTGGAAATGGTGTTGGGCGAGGAAAAGCGAATCGCATAAAGTGTTCATGCGCTGCAGCCATTTGGGACATTTTAGGCAAATCTCCATAAATGTGTGTCTTCTTTGATGAAGATTTTTCGTCCTGAATGACCGGTTCTTTCTTCTTATTTGGAACACTCAAATCCAGTGGTTGGTCAGTTTCTTGACTGGAATTCGACACTGGAGAGTGTTGAATAGATTTGCGTGATAGATCGAATGGTGCACACTCGGGTTCCGTCCCATGATTCTTTCTGTGGAACTCTGGAATGCTGAAGGGTTGTTCCACTTTGATTGGAAACGGTGGGGGTGGATAGCTATGGAATGAATGCATCTCTGCTGCCATCAAAGCTGTTGTGGATGGTGGAGTGCCGAAATATTTCTCTGCAATGGAAGCCATTGCTTGAATGCTGTTGTGGCCCTCCTTTGGTGATGTAAGAGAACTGTTTTCTTTAGTTTTCTCGTCTTTCTTCTCCACTTTCTCTGGAGTCTTTGAAGCACGTTCTTCTGGCATGGGGCTAGGTTTTGGTTGCTTTTGTTGTTTTTCACCATTCTCCCGTTCACTCTCGCTATCACAGTCACTTCCTGATGTGCTTTCTAGATCGCTCCCAGTGGGGGTGCTGACATTTGACACATCAGTCCCTTCTGAATCATCACTGACATTGCCATTTTTGACCTCATCCCTGATCTCGGTTTTGATTTTCTTCTCCTCTTCTTTCTGATTCTCATCTTTGCCTTTCTCCTCTTTGAGAGATGAAACATTGCTGGCAGTGTGTGGAGTGTTTGTTCCTTGAACGGTGGAGGCTGTGTAGTGTTTAATCCAGGAGTCGTCAGCTGTGTAGGCGCCAATTGAATCCTTACAGTCGCTGTCATAGCTGTTGAGTGAAGAATCATCATCACAATTCCCGGGACTTACAGGAAATTGCATTTTCGCATGGGACGCCAGGAGTTGACTCTGTAGCAATGCCTGTTGATGTGGCGGCATCATTCTCATCAGAGCTAAGTGAGCTTGTGAGCCTCGTAAAGTTGACGCTAGTGGCGAGACTGGACTTGAAACACCTCCATTATCCATTCCTGAAACCATGCGGTTTCCACGTATATGTGGCTGCAATGGGATGGCCACCCCTAATGGACTACTCAAAAATTGGTGACCCGTACAGAAACGACGATGTTTGTTAAGTGATGTGACCGTTGAAAAGACTTGATTGCAGCCGGAACATTTGATTTGAGTGCGGCAGTCAGCATGCATTCTCTTGTGCCGACATAGGTTCGAGAACTGAGTGTACGACTTGTAACATACTTCACATGTGAACGGCTTGACACTGCTATGGATGTGCGTGTGCTGTTTCAGACCGCTAGAAGTGGCAAACGTTTTTCCACACTCTGGACAGGCATGGCATCGAGCACCGACGTGCTGAGTGCGTATGTGTCGCTGAAGGTTGCTGGGATCGGTGAATATTTTATCACAGTTTTCGCAGTTGAATCTTTTTTCAGTATCATGTGTGACCTGGTGACGTATCAAATTCGACTTCCAATTAAATGACTTCGGACAGCTATCACATTTGTACTCTCGTTCACTGCTTAGACTTTCGCCATCTGTGGACTCGGTGTTTTCGGCATAGTAAGCAACTTCATCTTCCCGAGCTGCAATGAAAAAAAATAAACAATATTAGTAAATCAGAACTGGTTTATTATTATTTGAAAAAATAAAAAATAAAGAATAGTTTTAGTTTTATTTGAATGATTTAAAAGATGTAATAAGGCCAAAACAATTTTGGGAGTCACTGTTACTTAAATTTTGAGAGATTCCATCAATATGGCTTTTAAACTTTTCACCACTAGTTCCCTGTTTTCATCAAAAATTCACAAAATAGTTCTGTTTATAGTCTGCACTTTCCTTCTAAAGATTTTTCTGATTAAAATTTGAAAATTGACTCAAATTTTGTCTGTTGGCTCCAAAATTTGGGTTCATTTCCGGAAATATTGTAGAATGAAGGAAAAAGTACAGACAAATATGGGTGAGAATGTCTGGTGGTGAAAGGTTAAATTCTTTCTCTTACCTTGTTTAAAATCTTCATTGATTGTACTGAAGATCGCTTGGTCATTTTTACAGACGTATTTCTGATGCCGTCTTAACGCTACTTTAGATCGGAAAACCTCATCGCATTCTCCACATTTAAATCGCCTCTCTTCTAAAAGATTTAAAAAAAAAACAAAAAAAAAACATGAGTTTTAATTCTATGTCCTATTCAAAATGCATAATTGGTGTGATTGCTTACACTGCGAACACTCAAGACAAGATTCGAGAGGGGGTTCATAATTAGGCGTTTAATGGTAGTTGTCGTTGGACACAAATAATGTTAACGAAACACAGAACACAACCACTGACTGCCTCAGTTTCAAAGTAATGCATCAATTAAAATGATGAGTTGGGCTATCCATGCAAACAAAAGTTGATTTCGTCCATTGTGCACAATGTGTATAATATCCCATTCCCTTTGGGGTATGAGTTTATCTCTGACACTGAATCTTAAAATCTGAATCTTAAAATTTGTTTTTGATCAATAATACATGAATATTACTTTTTTAGTGACTGCATACTCATTACACCATATCCACATTTTAGTTTTGAATAGAAGTGCGCCCTCTATAGATGTGGCTATCACGTTTTAATGTCATCGAAAATAGTAATAAACTATCCCACTAGGATACAAGTTTTGAAAAGAAAATTGAACAGAAACATTTTTTCCACCACATTCTGATAAAAATTCTCTTTATTTTGTTATAGCGTACTCACCAATCATATGGAGAGGAAGTCCTTCCTGGTCAGGAAACGCAGCGTCTTTAATTACCATCAGTTCTTCTCCAGGTTCAATGGACTTTAAGACTTTATAATGTACCTGAATCAAGAATAAATACTTCTTGAATATTCCATTCAAAAATTGAATAGTGCCACCAAGCGTTCAAATATGTGTTTACTTTTGTTTTTACAGCCAGCCAGCACGTACATAATGTAATGCAAAATAATTATTTTTTTAAATCTATCAAAATCGATGTTTGTTAATATCTAGCAGGTCCTCCTCCCCACACTCACCCTGATTATATAAAATCTTATAGCCCTTTCCCCCACCACTAACACAAAGAAGAGCCCACAGAAGAAATTAATATTCATAATCTGCATATATTAACAATATGCAGAATATGAAAAAGAATAACTCAGACAACAGACTCCAAACATACTTATGAATATGCTATGACACAATAATTTAATTACCTAAACTTAAATTCATAGATCGATTCTTACCTGTTCGTTTATCTGTACCGCTATCATGTTTTGTTCTTCTAACACTGGCGCACTTCGCACGTACTTCATCCAGTTACCGGTACCCGGCTCGCTAGCGTCAATCCAGCACTTCACTTTACCAAATTCATCCACAATCTGAAAGACAAAATAAAAACGCAAAATATTACAATTTGTCACGCACAAATACGTTTTTGTTTTGCAATGAGTTGGCTAGATAGGATTTCACAAAAGAAACAGTCGTATGATAACTCACTTACAAGGTAATCTACCATGGGTATAGAACTACTGCTGCAGAGGGGAAAAAAAGCTGCATTTAAAGAAGTAAGTGGACCTCATAGCTAGAGTAGTAGCTGACGACAAATGCTGTCCAATCAAAAACTCTGTCTCACGGCTTGCCTGCTATTTTCATGATATAACATGCCAGAGCGGAACTTGCATTGGAATTAGGAAACGAGAGAATAAACACGAAAAAAAATCCTTCTGGCAGATAATCTTAGGGATTATAAAGATTTTTTCTACCTGAATCGAGTGATTAAGACCAAACCGTAGGACAAGCCAGCAAACTTTTGAGAACGACAAAAATGGACAGCGGATGCCTCCAGAGAAAAATTCTCAATAGATGCAATTGGTTGGAGGGAAATGATAAAAGGTCTGACCATGTTTGTCTAAACGTGTTTATTTGCCCGTTTGTATGACATCAGTCAAATGCCGAAAGTTCTCCCTTCGGTTGTCTGTAAGAACCAGAACTCATTGTCCCTTCTTCTTTTTCTCTCTGTCACAGCCTCCCCACCTATATTTTTAAACAGGACAAGTGAATCTGTGTTCTTGGACAAACAATGTGAACTTCTGCACCGATTCATCACATTGTTGGTAACATCTCAGTTCTGAGTCAATATTGACGCTGTAAAGTCTGTATGACCTCTCTGAACTCATCATTCCATCTCAGAAAAAAAAAACTTACTCTACACAAGACATGGCTGCTTCTTAAAAATTTCATTTCACTAAAATTGAAGAGAGAACCAAATTTCTAATTTCCGATTCGGGATAGTTTTTATTTTCAAATGAAGACACTAAAAAAAACATTTGGGAACAAATTTATCCTTTTTCACAAGACACAATACAGCTGTAAAATTGTAATCAACCTTGAAAGGAAGACGCAAATACCAAGGATGTTAGACATGTCACTATGGACTCCACAAGCCCTCCAGGTAAACATGCCTAATCATTTGCATAAAGAATGTGCTGGTTTAGAGAAACAATTTCCAACACCTCGGGGGGGGGGGGGCAGTGATTTACAAATAAACTAGAAAACCTTCTTTTCTTACAAAAAACAAAGGTAAGGTATGAAATGTATTGAATATTTCACTTCTGTTAATCATGAGTGTTTCGCTGATACATAAACCGAGAGACCATCATGAAAATATCTCATGTTTGAGTACTAGCTAAGGGATACATAGCAGTGAACAGCCCGTCGCTTGCCATCATCACACAGACATAGATAGTCTGTAGACACAGAAAGAATGATAAACTTTATCATGGTGGCCAGCATCCTCCCGGTGGTCTACAAACCATTAGTCTTTATTTAGTTAAAGAATATGTCTAATAAACGGGAAAGACATCTCAAATTATCCACACACAGGGTCATCAAAGAGCTAAGTGAAATAAACAAGTTATCCTAGCTTGTTTAACTAGCATCCGTTGGTATGCTGGTGTTTTGATACTTTAGGGTGGGACTCACTTTAGTGTCTATCTAGTCTAGTCGCTGTGGTGATGTCATTGTAAAGTACGCCCTCTAGTGTGGTAGATCAAAGAAAATGACTCTTCCCTATGACTTCTTCTCCAACAATTTTGAAATAATGCAAAGTTTTAGGCGAAGATAAATTCAGTTTCAGTAGTTATTAAACTTGTTATTAAGAAGTAAATCTGTAATCAATTTATATATTCAACTACCAGTTACTGCGAATGCATTTTCCCATGATAGGCAAATATATTTTAAAATCAAGTAAATTTAGAAAACCACTTCTGCGTTAATTTAGTTCAAAGTTCCAATTCTATTCGCATCTCAATTGAGAACCAAGCATTCTACTTAAAAGTACCCGATGAAATTGCATCTCATTATTATAAAGTGTTTTTAATCACTTGATAACCGAACAACCATTTAATTGATCCACACAATGATTATTCATATAAAAACTTTTTTAAAGTGGGAGGAACGCGATAAGTACATTTTTTGAAAACCAAGTTCCTGGTTTTTTTTCTGCGTTGAGAATACAAAACAGTTGACAATACAAATTACAGGTAAAAAAAAAAAAACACTTTGTGAATAGGAAATTTAAACAGCTCTGGATAGCTCTGGATTTGATTAAAATATGTGGCTATTATTTTTTTCCTCAATGAGGAGAGTTTCTATGTTTTTGTATGCTTGATTAAGTAATTTTTCCATGATTTTCAGACGTCATTAACTATTAAAATCTGGCATATTCACGCAAATGGCAAGAAGGGAGGGATGGTTTGCTAAAACGAAAGTGTTCCGTTTACCTTGCCATAACAATGTGATCACTCGACTGTGTACAAATGAATCAAGATTGACCAAAATTGGCTTTCTTTTGAACCAATTTCATAAGCTGTCATCAAATTATTATTTGAGTGTGGTATTGCCACGGCAACCCGCAAAACACGTACATCTCAAATTTGTCGCAATGGGCGGATTTATTAGCCGAGGTGTGGTACAACAATTACATAATTTGCATATCACTGGAGGGAGGGTTACACGGTTGAGAGAACAGCCACACTGTGAATGACAAAAAAATTACAAAATGATGATGGGGGGGGGGGGGCACTGATTACTGGATTGGCTAGTAACCAGGAGGAGGGAGGTCATTTTAAAGAACAGCTTTGACATCAGAGTCTAGGGCAAAACTACTGATGAGGAGTTCATACGAAAAAAGTAATGGTGTAGAGACGCAACTGATTAGATGTATCGTTTCAATATCATGGATGACAGTGAAATAGGAGAGATGTCAATTCTTGTACTGCATCCCACGGGCAATAAAACTAACGTTATTAATACTCGTAATAACAGCAATAGAAAATACCCCTGTAGCAAAAATGAAAACAGATCCATATACGCTCAAAGAGGACCCGAATAATCACATTAAATTTCTAATATAATTTTGCGTTTATTGCAAAGACTGGGAAATTTCTGAGTGATGGCAGTAAAAAATTTACTTGTCGGTGATTCAAGCACAAAGGATGAGCTACGTTGGATTTATGAAATGGATCGTATACGCTGAAATTATTGTATTGTCATAGCGATTGATACTTTAGTTATAATTCACTTGAGGCGGTTTGTGCTGAGATGTCATTTTCGTTGCGAGTTATTGATGTACAGATAATAAAATTAGCTCACTAGGTGCACCGTTTGTCATCCGATCTCACTGCTGACACCTCTAAATTAAAACACAAGCACTTTCAATTACGATAACCAATTTTTCATGGCTTCAAACATACCCGTTACGTGTAAATACATGCAACCATCCACCTGGGATTTCGAAAGCGAACCGTTGCCACTTATTCTTTATGGCTCAATTTCACTTAAATAATTTTGTCGTCTGCCATTGACATTTGATAACGAATCAAACATGAAATGAAACAGGTAACAGACTGGTCTATGTCACCGCGAAGGGACCATAAAATCACGACTGTCCAACACTTGCGCGTCACATGATTCAGCCAAATCGAAGTGTATGTTGTATTAACGAGATTAGAGATGGTCGCTTTGCTGTAATAAAACTTAGTGATATTTTTTAAAAGGTAATTCATCAATTTATCGCGCTGTTGTCACCCTTTGTGAGTTTGAGTTTAATGCTCTTGTTATCATGCTACTATAAAATGAAATATGATCATGCATACCTGGCAATTCAAGGAGAAGACAGAAGAGGGCATCTCTAAGAGTGATGTTTGTGATAAATGAAGAAGTCATGAAATTATTTTTTTCAAGTTTCCGAAATACATCAATCTTAAAATAAAATTATATGCAAGTAAGCCAATATTAAAAGAAACCATAAAATTTTAAAAAAACACACCGACAGAAGCCAATCTGAAAAGTTACACAGTCATATATTGGCACTAGACAACAAACCCCTAAAAGAAAAAAAAAAAACTTTCCTTTTATGGAAACTTTCAAGTTGACGCTCGACATGGTGAAGTAGATATTTCCACTGTCATTGATCAATAACAAGTCAACCATGTTTAGATACCACTCCAATGACCTGTCCAATTGGTTTGTGTCAATATTGATTGTACACCACCTTAACTTAGTCACATTATCAATTTCTTTAAGGACAAGCAGAAGAATAAACACTTTTTATTTCTATTCTATTCTATTCTATTCTATTCTATTCTATTCTATTCTATTCTATTTTATTCTATTCTATTATTGAACTACTCTAATATTATTCTATTCTATTCTATTCTATTCTATTCTATTCTATTCTATTCTATTCTATTCTATTCTATTCTAGTATTAAACTACTCTAGTATTATTCTATTCTATTCTATTCTATTCTAGTATTAAACTACTCTAGTATTATTCTATTCTATTCTATTCTATTCTATTCTATTCTAATCTATTCTATTCTATCACACATTTTTACCACTGCCCCATTACTATGGCAAGCCCAAATCATTACATTATGTTACTATGTGGTGTCTCCCAGGGCTTCCAACTGAAGAGTGAATGTCTCTCTGTTTACTTTGCATTCACAGCACATTATCTGCGGCAAGCACTATGAGCTGCTGCCATCTCCCCTCCGTAGTCTAAACAACCACCACAATGGAACCTGGGGACAATTTGGCAAGAATACACACAGATACGGACAGGTTCAGACAATGACTATCAAGCAGTCCAATTAAGTCTCTAGCTAACCCAAATAAACATACTAGAGGTTTATTTGGTTGTATGAAGGAGTGGCTACGATATACAATCAAAGTTGTAGCTGTAGTTTATTAGTGTAGTACAGGATGAGGCAGGAGAAGACAGTCTTCAAACAAACTCCCTAAGACAGTCTTCAAACAAACTCCCTAACTTTCTGAAAATCTATTTTTATAAATATTTTCAGAAATGAATATTTGTT